TTGAAATGATTATAACTTATAAGGGGTCACTTCCTATTTAACCATCACTTTTTGTGATATACCTATGGTATGTATGAATTGCAAATAAAACCATTATTTGTTCTTCGTAATTGCCCATCGACCTAATAGGTGGATTTTATCCGTATAAGATTTAATTATATTGTGAAAAGATTTTATTATTTTTTTAACGATGCACAAAGAACTTTCACTTGAAAAATAGTTTGGTGGATGAAATATTCCGTATTTAAATTATATATGTAGGATCCAAAGAAGTGTCAAATTCTAAGAGAATATGAAGTAGACAACTCACCTGATCATGACACAAGCATCAATGACTATGATTTTACAATTCGAACACACGTGAAATTAAAGTTCAATAAGATGTCCCAATGATGCGTGAACACTACATAAATACTATTTTCTCTGTCTCACTTTATATAACTTATTTTCTTTTTTAGTCGGTCCCAAATAAAATGATACATTTTTATATTTGATAACGATTTAACTTCAAAATATTCATTTTATCTTTGATGGAATGATTTTCAGCCACACAAATATCTATGACTTATTTTAGACCAGAAATTTCAAAAAAAAAAATTCTTTATTAAATTTTGTGTCAAGTCAAACCAACTCATATAAATCAGTACATCGGAAGTATATGATATAGCTTCTATTCAGGAGTTCTCATATACACACATCATATATAGGAATGAGAAGAAAAAAAAAAGAACATGGTGTATAATTACTACCATTATTGTATGTTTGAATTCTCTTACAAAGTTTTTTTCAACCAATAAGAGAATTGAATATTATAAATTAATTGATTAGCAGGTAGTTGGAAAATTAAGCATAAGCTTTATATATTAAGTTAATTATTTATTCCAATAAGAGAATTGAATATTATAAATTAATTGATTAGCTGGTAGTTGGAAAATTAAGCATAAGCTTTATATATTAAGCTAATTATTTATTCCCCCATGGTCCAAATGCGTTTAGTGGAATAAATCTTGCTGTTTATAATTAGGAATTAATTTCCAACTGAAAGCTTGATTAGGATAAGTTCAAAGATTACACGAATAATCTAGTGCAGAAAAAAAAGAAGGTAAATAATATATTACATAATTATCACTGTAATTTTTATTTTCCCTACATTCTTAAGTTAAGCAAAAAAGATATTTATAAGTAAATCTCGCTGAAATACGAGTATAAAAATTAAAAGATCCATAAAAGTAACTTGATAATAAAAAGAGTTTTTAATAAGAAAGGCGTGTATAATTTAAACTCATATATTAATGATTACTAATTCAAACCACACTCCATTAGTTGGCTTGTTTAACTCCATGTGAAATTTGGAGTCATTTTAAGTAAAATGATATGATATTAGTTGATAGGTATATCATAACTACATGAACGTAATTAGCACTCATGTTGACAAAGTTAGCTTGAAATAAGGAAACATGACACGAGGACAATATTAATTTATTTATTTTTAAATATATATTTTAGACTTTAGTACAAGTTACAAAAGAATCTCAAGGAAGCAAAATACCATTAAGATCAAATGTGATGAAATAGTTGAGATCATTCTATTGAAAGGGAGTGTAATTTAATTGCTTTAATGAACTTATTTTATGCGATTCTGAATTAATCGAGATAATGAGTCTCGAATAACTGATACCTAAAATGAATGGGAAAAAAGTAAAATAAAGAAAAAAATATTTTTCTTATAACCTATTCTTCTTACCACATATCACTTTTTAATAAATTCACCTAAATCTTTAAATCCGATTTTTTTATCTCAAACAAAAATATGGAGATAAATTAAAGAAATGGAAAGGGAAGCCAAGGAGCAAAAACAAAAACATCACTAAGACAGTAGAGTACACTTGGATAATAATATGATTAAACCATTATCAACAGTGTTATGATGTTAATTAATTAGTGACGCTACTATTGTCTTTGCTATTAATTATATATTTGTGTTGTTAGGAAATATTATTAGTGTCACAGCTGTAACAAGCAACTATATGGAAAGTTGATTAATTAGAAGTTAATTAATTAAGCATATTTTTTTTCATGTAAGCAAAATCTTGAGAGTCAACAAGATAAAATCCCAGATAATATATGGTGATCAGTTGATACTGATTATAACAATAGTAAAATGATATAATACTAATTTGTGTTCGGTGTTTATATTATACCAAACAATTTAATTTTAATAACTAAAAATTATAGTGAGAATACATATCACTTAATCATGCATGCATGGTTAAGAATATAAGTTATTATTGTGTGCGTAGAATGTCTTGCTTAGATTTGATTGATTTCTTACGACGATCTCAAACTAATATATACTAAAGATGGAATACGAACAAAAATTATTGGATTCACATGAACACGTATATCTCGCATCTTCATTAGTTTTTTTAATTTAGTATAAATATTGAGTGTGTGTGAATTTTTTCCACAATCAAATAGTAATTATATTTCCACTTTATAATACTTTACTTTTTTTTTTCTCCCATTACCCATATTGGAAGGCAAATCCATAGGAGCCAATCAAAAAGATATTAGCTAGAAGGAGCCCATTGTTTATTAAATTATTAAATATTAAAATATTTGAAGCAGCCAAGCCATCACTATATATGTTTCAAATCAAATACAACTTTCATGGTTGTCTTTTTCTAACATATTAGAAAATAATGATCTTCATGGTCCAACAGATTTTCATCTGTCTAATGGGAAAGTCTTTTCATATAGTAGTTCTATTTATATATGTTATTACCTAGCTACTAGGGTTTTTGCCTTATATATATTGCCTTCTAGATAAAATCAAGTCAAATATTGGACTTATAATCAAGTTTATTCATATAATAACTACATGTTACTCTTAGGCCCTAGCACTTCAAATTTGTTTGATAGATAAAAATATAAATTTATTACATAACTTGATCAGTTGGTTTTGTTCATTATCTGAACTTTCATCTGATTAGTGAAGGTTAAATTAAAAACCAAATGTTGAATGTATTTGCTTTTTTAAAAAAACAAATATATGTTAATGTTACCTAGCTACTAGGGTTTTTGCCTTATGTATTGCCTTCTAGATAGGATATATTGGACTTAATTAAGTTTATTCTTCTTAGCTATAACTACATGTTACTCCTAGCACTTCAAATTATTTGTTTGATAGATAAAATATTACTCTATACTACATCTTAAAATATAATATGCATTAAATGAATTAGATTATTTTTTTAAGAAAAATAATATTATGAAGCTATATAAGGCAGTATTATTATTGAAATGATGGCAAAATATGTTGGAATCTCCGAATTAAAAAAAAAGTCATATAGATTGAGATGAAAGAGTATAAATATACTTTGCACTTTGTATTATTTTTAATTAATTAAAGTTGTTAGATTTCACAAATAGGTTAAAGGAGAATAAAGTGAGGTTTTGTGTGACCTATGTATTACAAATATTAGGGATGAGAAATTAAGCTTACAAAAGGAAGTTCTAAAATAAAGAACTTCTAGTTATATAAAAAGTTAAGAAGAGTCTGATATGATCAAAAATAAAGTTGTCCTTAATTCTTCACTCAAATTTTAATGTTAGGCTTGCCAACTATGTACATTATTCTTTAACGACGTAAATATAACCTTAGAAGGAAGATTTATAACCGAGAAGAAAATAGTTATTTTACAATGCTTCGATCCACAAAGTTAGCAAGCACGTTAAAATAAAAAATAAAATAAAAAATATATATATATATATATTTAAAATAATTTAACTTTTAAGGTTTTTTATTTTTCATATTACTTTGATGACACGATTTTGTGACATATGTTTTTACCATATATTTCAAAAACCTTTTTTTTAAAAAAACTTTGTATTAAATTAAATCAAATCAAATGCATGTCTCCCATAAAATGGTGTGGAGGATATAATTTTGACCTTTTTTTTCCTTCTTCATTCCCATTGTTCCCCCGGGTGCACTAGCAAATTACGATTGATTACACTAATTTATTATCATATCATAAAAATTAAAGTATTTTTTAGCTAGAGAAAACCATAGAGTATTTTGTTCTTGAATACGTGATAATATTTAGCAGAGGCGGAGCTAGATGGGGGTTTATGCGTTCGGACAAATCCACTAGCTATTTTATAGACCATGTAGAAAATTAAACAAATATATATATGTATATTAACTTGTGAACCCTTTAACAAAATTGATTCACAGCTTAGTGGTAAAAAAGAGCGGTAAAAATGTTTTTCACACTAATATTGCCTCCAAACTCCTAATTCAGGCTCCGCCAGGGGCATCACACTAAATTAACCGTCAATTGCTTATATTGTATTAATAGAGGTGAACGGTACCCTTCATTAATCCTAAGTACTCAAAATATTATGATTTTGTACATGTATAATGGTGTCTTAATCTCTATTATGACTGTGATTTAATTTCTTACAATGTAAGCATATTATCATTAAAATGAATTATAAGTATGTGTTTATGATATAAAATTCTATATAGTTAGGAGAAATACAAGTTTCTTCACCACCTAAATAATTAAACAATGGTAGTAATTACTCAACTCCTTTTTTACTAGACAAAATTCTAGGATTAATTGGTAATTTTTACTTCTTGACTATACATACACAAGTTGTTAATTTACTGTGTTCACACTAGCTAGCTACCCTTAGTAGCTAAGAGTCAAATTAAAGTGCTAATTTTGCTAATATTCTTGATAATGAGTGCTAGGATGATGCTAATACAATTATAAAAAAAAAAGTTAATTATCATTAAAGGCCATATACTATTGCTAATAGTACAATTAAAGGAAGAAAACAATATGGTGATGGAAGAAAAAGAGGAGCTAAAGCACTTCCCCTTGGACCCCATCTCATGTCTTATCAACTACCCCAATTATTTGTTTTAATTTTATCTTTTTTCCATTGCAATCCTACTCATCTCTATATAATTTTTCCTTCTCTAAGCTAAAACAATTCATTAAAACACAAAACAAATCTATCCCTCACAAATTCTCCACCCAATTTATGTTTACTTTTTTAAAAATAAAAATAAAAAATAGTCTTGGTAGTGTTACAAATAATTATTCCTTTGGTTTCAACTTCAGGTTCAGAAACACGCAGTTCGAGAAAAATCAAGATTGCCGGACAGAAAATCCCTTCTTGAGAACTTTCAAGCTATGATGTCATCAAGTGAGCAAAGAAGGGAAGCTGGAGGAGAGGGAGAAGGATCATCATCAACGACCGCAATTACTTTAGCACAATCCGATGACCACCATCATCATCATCAGCTATCACCACCTCCTCAGCTAAGCCGTTACGAGTCTCAGAAACGTCGTGATTGGAATACTTTTGGTCAATACTTGAAGAATCACAAACCCCCAGTTCCTTTACCCCAGTGTAACTACAACCACGTGTTAGATTTTCTTCGATACCTAGATCAATTCGGAAAAACTAAGGTACATTTAAATGGATGTGTATTTTTTGGACAAGTTGAACAAGTTGGACCATGTACATGTCCACTTAAACAAGCATGGGGAAGTTTAGATGCACTAATTGGAAGGCTTAGAGCTGCTTATGAAGAAAATGGAGGATTACAAGAGACTAATCCATTTGCTAATAGTGCTATAAGAATTCATCTACGTGAGGTAAGAGATTCTCAAGCTAAAGCAAGGGGAATTCCTTATAAGAAGAAGAAAAAAAAGAGGAAAATTCAAATTAATTCTAGTAATAACAATGAGGTAAATTCCTCTTGATTTTCACAAGAGGGAAAAAAAACAAATGGTAAAATTTCTTTCTTTTATAATAAGAAGGTTACTTCAATTTGCTTCTAGGAGATTTATATATTATTATGAGAATTAATTGACTTAGCTTCATTATAATGTGAAGATGTCAAATAAAATATAACATTAATTCCAATAAATTATGCTGATTTCTCTATGATTGCTTGGATATATATTCATTGAATAATTAACGCTTGAGTTGAAGGTCTATCCATAATAACATATATATCTTCAGAAGATAGGAATAAGTTAAGGTTGGTACACGTCACTTTAATTTCTTCGAACTCTATTTGTGAGATTTATTGTTATTGTATATTGGGTTTGAGGGCTCTTTTTTCCCACCCCATCTGCTCTTAAAGCCCGTTTGAATTGGCTTAAAAGTCGGTCAAACCTACTTTTAAGTCAGTTTTTACTTCTGGAAGTGTTTGACAAATATAAAAAAAATAACTTAAAATAAGTCAAAAATGACTTAGAATAAGTTACGAAGTGTTTGGCAAGGTAAAAACTAACTTAAAATAAGTCAGAAACCAAAAGTAGGTCTCCCCCTACTTTTTATTTTTTGACTTAAAAGTCATTTCAGTTTGACTTTTTATTTTTGACTTAAAAGCTACGTTTTTTAAGTCAATCCAAACGGGCACTTAACCAAGAATCACAAGACATTTCCCTTTCATCCGGTTAGAAACCCTAAAATTTAGACAGCTTCTACTGATTAGTTAACTTTGATCTTCTACTTGAATTTAGGAACAATAGGAATTAGTAGGCAGCCACAATCCAAGATTTAAACCTAATGGATTTGATTTCCAAGATTTTAGTAATGAATTCGCTATCTTTCAAAATTATGATTTCAGATCTATTATTTATTATAATTTTAACAATTTTTTTATGTACAAAATTTATGTTCTACATCAAAAATACTGGATGAATATGATCTATGAATACTATATCCATCATTGTCAATGGCGAAAACATGATTTTCACCAATTTCACCCTCAACAATACCATTAATTTCAGATTGTCACAATAATTAATTGATGAATTAAGCATTTTTTTTAGAGTCTACATGAAATAGACTTACGCTATGATAAGTCATTAATTAGTAGTAGTAGCAATTATTATGTGTAGTTAGGCCCACTCCATAAAGAGATTTTTCCATTAGACAAATTTCATATAGTCATAATCATATCCATAAATAGAAAATAATCATGTCTTGTTGTACGCATTATCTTTGCCCTTGTAATACTTTTAATCTGTTGAAATTTAATTCAAATTGTCCTAAAATTCAAACTTATAAAAAATCAAAATGTTCATAACTATGTCATGAAATTTAATAAAATCTTAAAGGTTGAACTTATAAAAATAAACTCAAACTTCGTGGAAAATTCATAGAGTTTGACGGAGTCCCTATATCCCAAGTTCCAACTAAGTTATTTAGATTTGATTCGCGCATTTCTCCCAATTTTTATTCATCTAAGATCAAATTAATGTTTTTTTCATCATGATAGTTGGAAAAAAATGTATTTGCACCCAATATTAAGCGTTTAACATGATGGTGGATGTTACACAAATGCTGTAATGACTAAAATATATGAAAAGGTAATTTAGAGGGAGCAATATTAGATTTGGAGATCTTTGTTTATTTGATTTGGTCAACCAGAATCAAAGGTGGCTTATAAACATAAAAAGGATTAATTGGAGATTAGCAATGAGACATGCTGGGCCAAATTAATGGAATAAACATCTGGGAGAATTTTGTCTTTTTTCATTTTATTTTATATTATATTATATAGTACTATATTTTATATTTTATATTATATAAAACATAGTGGTAGTTGGGGTCACTGACATGATCTATTTTGCTACTTTTTTATTTGTCTAAAATTGTTAGTCCTGTTGTTGGCTATATTGCTTATATTCTCTTAAAGTATTTCTGTTTTCGTGTCGAATCTTTTAAAAATGTTTACTTTTAGAAGATTCAATATGTACTTGATGACAATTTTGAGGAGTACGAGCAACATAAGTAATAGTAGATGTACTACAACAACAAAAAAGTGAGATCAATACTAAGGTTGAATCTTGGTGCCTTTTGCTTAAAATTCTTGTAGAATTTCAACCAAAATTTTCAGAAGAACTACTTTTATGTCTTCATACTTTGAATAAAAAAGGCTTCAATTGAAAATTTTCACAAACAATTTTATGAATGGTACAAACCACGCTAGTTTATTCACATGTTTATGTCTTCGTGAACTCTCAGGCAAGGGCAGATGTAGACTTAAAGCTATGGATTCAGGTCAACTCAGTAGCTTTTGCCTGAATCTTGTATTTCTATCTAAGAATTCACACAATATCTATAAATATTTGATTGTGAACCCAAATATTATTATGTATTAACTCGATATAGTTATAGAAACCAGTAAACTTCAAATTCTGAATCTGTCTCTACTATCAGGAACATGAAAAGGTCACTGCATTTGCATGATACTTAGAAGCTATGATACAGTATTGATCAATTTGCTACAACTATTGATCACCTTGTCATAAAGCACTGTGTAATTTGAGCTACTTATGTTCCTGAAGTAGCAGCCTTTATCGTTGTTGTATTTGTATATCTGTTGTGTGCTCCCGAGTCCACTGTCTAGCGACTGATCCTTTACAAGCATATAGCCCTGCGCGTTCTGCAGATTGTGAACAGAGCTGGCTGAGGATCCATACTTCAACCTCTTCTCATCGAATATCAAAGTCACATTCGAGATAGCAGCATAGCTTTTATCTCCTATCTCAACTCCATCAGAGTACATGTGAAGCTGAAACTTTTTCAAGGATTCAAGAACCTGAACAGAAAAAGACCGCGTCTTAGCATAAACAGTGTCATTAAACTCAATAGTCTGATCAACAACTTGCAAGTTCGCGTCATTTCCCATCACCATATAGTTACTATAGCTCAAACTCTGAGATGATCTCGTGTTGACTATTCCATAAGATGATTTTACCCATCCAGTCATTGAGATCGATCTACGAGCATTTGTCAAAAAGGAACCATCAAGACCAGTAAAATTACTCGCAAGAGAAAATGAAAGGGGCAAACTACTATACTCCAACAACTTCCCTTCTGTTTTTACACTCTTTTTATCCAACCAAAGGTGCAAATTTGCATCAACATACCATACATTCAAAGCATTTGTAACACTAAACGAAATATTATGAGAACTTCCATCTAAGATCTTCCCTAACAACGGCGTAATTTCAATATCATATGAAGGAAGATCAAATGAGCCAATTCCACTTATAGGTCTCCACAACAGAGGATTGATACCACCAGTATAAATCACAGTAAAAGGCCAAACTGCACCAACTACAACATCATCCAAACTTACTATCACCTCTCTAAAAGCACCATTCCCCGCGATATCACTACGATTATTCGCAGTAATATAATCATTTGGCAAATTTCCATACCAGAACTCATCATTCTCATGAAAAGACACATAAATTTCCAATACAGCCCTGTATACATTTTGTGGGATTTTGAACTCTTTTGACTGTACATATGTAGAATTCTCAATCTCAAACCACAAACCATCATTCAACGGCAAATTACGCGATATGGGTACGATTAAATCAGCCCCAGAATCAAATCCCTTGAAGGGGTTTCTCACTTTTTCAGTAGGATAAAAATGAACAAAAATTTCTACATGATAAACCCCAGTATATTTACTATCAACAATGTTCCCAATATAAACAGCAAGAGTTTGATTAGTCATAAGCAAAGAAGAATACCTAGTAATATCCTTCTTCACAGTCCAAATAACTCCATTTGGCCTTGGCTCTGCAGTACAACTCCTGAAAATTTCAACCCCACCAAGCCAAATCCCAAAAATTCTATCAAATTGTCTTCCTTTACTTGTTGCTTTCCATTCAAGAATGATTTTGGAGAACTTTTTTGATGGGCAATTTGAAGGGGGTGTGTAATTTGTGAGGATTGGGGGTTTCCCATATGTGTAGGCAAAATCATGTTTGAGAACTAAGTAGGAACAAGATTTGGTTTTGGGTAATTTTATAGGATTTGTGACTTCAAAATAGGTTGTGGGAGTGTCATTCTTGGGAGAAAGGTCTTGTTGAGTGGTGACATTTGGTCTGAAAAGAGCTCTTTTGTGGATTGTTGCTGTGGAAAAAAGGGGTATTTGGAGTATTGAGAAACAAATGAAGAAGATGAAGAAGAAAGAGACGGCCATTAATGGCATGCAAGAGAATGTGTAGTTTTGTCAATAGTTACTCCTTAGAGTGGATCCGAGATTTGAAGTTTACGATGAATTTCTACGTCACATACAGAATCTAAATAAAAGTTATTGAATTCACGTGATCAGATCTAGATCTGCCCCTAGGAATTGGGAGGAGGAAACAATGTCCTATGAAGGTGAAATTGTTTTCCTAGTTTGCCTTGTTCTTTAGGATTGCTTGGAAATTCACCAAAATGATGACAGCTTCATTCTAGTATGACAAAAAACTAACATGAAATGATGAGTCATTGTCAGTTGCAGACTTGAAACATGTTTAATAGAGTACAAAATTATTTTAACAGCTGTATGTTAGTCTTATTATCCTAATGTTCATCTAATATAGTTTGATATCAAGTTTAATATATTTCAAATTTATCAGCAATTATATAAATGGCGTAGGATAAATAATTAAATCTAACAGATAGATAGTTAATGTGAACCAAATAACATCACATGAAAGGTTAAATTCTATTAGTTAGGCAAATTTAAATTAAAAAAATATGATAACATTACAATAATAACTTTGGGACGTTTTACCTCCTTTTTTTCCTTTGGAAGTTTGGGGTGTTGTTAAAAAAGCTACAAAACAAATGAAATTTACATTCTGTACAGGCAGCTCCAAGGCCTTTACCTGCAATTTCTTGTATTATTTTGAATTTAATATATAATGTCAACTAAGAGATCGATTCAAGACGAAGAGCAGACCGGAGTCTCCATTCAAAAAGAAAAGTTCCAAAGGTACATAAGAAGACACAGACACTTCTGATGAGGCGAATCTGTATGTAGGCTGCAAAATCTTGCTACCTTTGGCACATGGAATAGTTAGAAGACGCGGACCAGTCCTCATCTGCCATATCTGCAATGAAAAACTCAAGTGTCAAAACAAGCATAATCTCCGATGCATCTTCTGATATACAATAACCTAAAGTTTACTCGAACAATTTTCATCAGATACAGTTTTCACGAGCAATCAACAAATGGCACAGATATGTATTTGTTGTTTTCACTAATAATTATTAAGTAAAAGGATGGTAGTTTTGGCTGTATTAAGTTACTATGAATGAAATTTGAAGCGCATAACTAAAAATGGGGGTGAAATGAATGAGAAAGATGATACAGCAGAGAGTGCAGCAAACTACCTCCACAATCCCTTTACGTGGTGCATGAATCGCTAGACAGAGGCAATAATCACTTTTCACGTGTTCATGGTAAGCAGATCTAGACGTTTCAATGTCTTTCTTAGCAAGCATCTCAACAAAGAGGCAACTTGCATCACGATAACCCTGCAAACCAATACATTTTATCAGGTGATAAACCTAAGTAGATAGTTGGGGCTTGTTTGCTTTGGATTATTTCATCTGAACTACTCAAAATCATTTGTAAACTCCTGTTTCCGGTCCATATTGACATTCAGTTCTTATATGAAAAATCAATTCACTGAAGTAATAATCAAACATTATTCTACTGAATGTGCACAAGTATATTTTCTTCGCTATCTAATGATCACTTATATAACCATAAATAATTTGGATAAACCAAACAAGTAATTATCAATAGGTGAATAGAACAAACCTTCCACAAACGGACCACCACAAGGGCCTGAGTGTCTAAGAGTAAGATACGACCCAGAGAATCAGTTATTGCAGCCAAAGTACCACTAGGTGATAACGTGAGCTTCTCCCCTTTTCTAGGATGATCCTTAAAGCAAGTCAAAGGAGAAGCTGCCAGAAATAGAGAATTTACAATGACATTATGTCAGCTAAATTGAAATTCAATTAGATACTCAAAGAGTATACGATGAAGTCTGAAGTACAATTATGTAAAACATGGAAAAATACAGCTAAACTTCATATTGTCAGATGAACTACTGGGAATTAGACTTCAACTGAAATTTTAAGGAGTAAAAGAATAATCAGGGAAAGGTAACTTCAGCATTCTCCACTTCACAATTCAAACATACAAAACTTCTATGGGAAAGTAACATGGCAGGGTCACTATTTGAGTTTTTCCACTACTCTAGTAACTACAGCATCAACTTTACCAGGTTCAGTTTACTGACTAACAGTCAGCACAACATTGGAAAGTACGTTACCCAAAGCCTGAGCAAACATAAAGAAATAACCATGGTCCGGTCCAATATTGACCATGTTTTCTCCAAGCGAAGTCCAGAAAGATAATGGAGAGAAGTAATTGAGTTTTCTTGAAAAAGGAGCTTGTCATTAACAAAAGGCAATAGAACATAGTAACCTTTTTTTTCAACCAAGTGACACAAAGGTTGTCTCTACCTACTTGTAATAGACTCTCGAAAGCCAGTGTGGGCACCCGACACTAGTCGTCGAGTACAGATCTAGAAGTCAGATTTGTCATCACCTAAATCTTAGGATTCAGGGATACAGATTGGAAAATGGGTACAGGCCTTAATGACACAACCAATAAAGTATATACGACATATATAAGTATATATGTTTCGACAAAGAATTGAAATTAATAAATTGAAGCTAGTATATTTAAATTCTTTCTAAACACTTGATAATTTATTCATATGTTATCTCGTATCAGTACTTTATGTGAATATATATGCAATAAACCAAATAACCAAATAACCAATCAACCTATACTTCTTGGCCATATTACAAACCACTTTCCAACTCAAAGATAAACTTCTAGAAAAGAACACTTCTTTCAGTCATGATCTCTAGATGGAAGTTCAAATAAGTAAAGGAAGGACGGCATGATGCTTGGAAGGTGAAAAAAAATCAGCATTTTGACGTGTAAAAAAAGTGATATGTGATCAACCTCTAGCTATTAAAATAAAATAGAGAGAACTGAATAAGAAATTCTTTTAATGATGAAAAAAATACCAAATACCTCGAGCAAAAGGCTGAGGCTTTGGTTCTGGTCTTTTTGTAGGAGATGGATCACTTCTCCATAACATTTTTGAGATTGAAGTTATTGTTGAAAAAGTTGCAGGCACAACCTTGGAGAGAATAGCCCCTACTATTGATCTGCTTCGGTCTACAGAAAGTCTTGAAAGTGTAAAGAGAAATCCAATTTAGTAAAATAAAGTAAGAAATGGGAATGCAGACAGAAACTTTAGTTAAAAAAATCAAATGAACTTGAAAAAGAATCATAATATAATATACTGCAGACTAACCGATAAGCAGAAATCACAGCGTCAGCTCCAACAGTGATTGCACAATAATAACGCTGACTTGACTGCCCAACAATAAAAGCAGCTGAATTCAAATACCAGAATAACTTCAGAAAATCTCCGGAAGTCATAGGACAAAAAATAGCATTTCACTAGAGCAGTAAAAATTCATTTTGGTGTGTGCAGAACTATAGGAGAAGGTTTAGGGTTGAGGAAACAACAAATCCCAGTAGAAAAGTATGCCTTGTTTAAAAGGAAGAGAAGAAGTACTGCAACATGATAGAATGAGAAAATAAAATATTACCTGTAGCTCCAGCAGAGGAGGGGGCATCAGACCAGTGATAGCAGCATCAACACAAGAACCATATTTACCAACATTCCATAGCTGGTATGGAAGCCTCCCAAAAGTATCTGTAGAATTTTCAGATTCTCTCTCATCCCAGAACTGAGAGTGTCTTTCTCTAAACCACCTCTGAAGCATATTCTGCATTTTAATACGGGCATTAGCAGTATGACATATGAGAACCTAAACTTCATGGTTCGACATCAAAATGGAGATGTAAAAATTGAAAATTAAATGTCCTCATATCATAGTTGATTTAGAAAAAATAACATTACTTGTAACCGCGAGAATATTCGAATACCTGAATGTCTGATCCATCAAACCGAGCAATAACACCTGACATAACAACACAGACCTCTTCTGATGATGCATCTTGGGTTAGATCTCTCTTGGTACCACGGACTCTCAATCTAAGAATCTTTCCAGGGCTTACTATCTGCCACACAAAAGTTCTGGTAAGTTCGCTAATTATCATATGGCACCGCTAAATAAAACAAAAAATAATCTCAAACCAAACGCTTATAGGTTCCAAAATATCTAGTTTTACTACATGGCATAATAAGTTAAGATGTCAAACTAAAAGAAAAAGTACATAATGACCATCATAAACAAACTCTTTCGTTTTCTTTGAGAATAACACTAAAAACAAACAACAACATATCCAGTGCAATCCCACAAGTGGAGTCTAGGAAGGGTAGAAGGTAGGACAATCTTACACAAGTGGGGTGTGGGAGGTAAAGAGGTTGTTCTCGATATACCCTCAGCTCAAGAACAAATTTATCATAAATGACAAATGAGAAAGCATAAAACTTTTGTTGTGGTTGGGAAGCATAAAACTTTTAAATAGCAAAACTAAGTGTAGCGTGATCCAGTGACCAATACTAATGTCTAATATAATCCTGCAACTTCACTAAAATTCATTCTGAAAGTGAATTCCACAGCTTCATCAATTCCTACAACTCCCTAGGTTACATAACCCCAATTCTCCCCCTCTTATGGCTTCTTCACATAACAATCAAATTCACAACTACATTTACTAATTCCACTGCATTTGCAAACTATGAACAGAAAAGACGAATACCTGTTTATGAATCAGATCACCACGGAGAGAATAAATCAACAAATACCCACGAGAAGTGCCCAAAGCTAAAACTTTGATATCATCAAACACTAACCACTCGATCGCAGATATATACTCAGCCTCGATCGGAGAGAGATCAGGTACAATCTTCACCCGGTTTCCTACCGGGTCGGACCCTTCGGACCAATGTAGAATGAGAACAAGCGAGCGGTTGGCTAATGCAATTGAATGAGTGTCGAGAGCAGTTAGGAGATTAGGGTTGTTTACAAGCCAACCTTCTTTGCCGGCGCCGAGCTCCGACAAATCGTCGCAGGCTATGCATCCGAGCTCCGTCGTATGGTTTCGTCGGGCCATTACAGGTCAGATGGAGAAGATTAGAGTCAGATCATCGGAAATTTGTCAAATCCAGGGTCCTACTCTGTTATATAATTCTAATAATTCTTTCTGTATTTTATTATTTACTCCTATACTTTGCTTGCACCATGTTCAATTCCTTAAACTTTTAAAGTGAATTTTACATATAATATAGTTAAGAATTTCAGAATATATATATATTTATTTATTTATTTATTATTTCTTTTTAGGAGCTATTTGAGTTTTTGGCTAAAATCATCCCTTAATTATATCTCAAATCTAATGTACATCCTTATATTATCTAGGGATAACGGTCTGAAAAATATCCCAACTTTAGTCGATAGGGATAAGGGTCTGAAAAATACCCTAACTTTGGTCGAATTTGTTGTTGTGGTACTAAACTTTCATGAGGACCTATTACCTCCCTAGACTATTTAATACCGTATTTTTTACCCCCTGAACTATTTAATAGTGCATTTTAAAGGTATATATGTGCCCACGTGGACACATTATTATTTATAATTTTGCATTATTTTTTATGTCCACGTGGGCAAATATATATGTTTAAAATACGGTATTAAATAGTCTAGGGAGGTAATAGGTCCTCATGAAAGTTTAGTATCGCAACAGCAAATCCGACCAAAGTTGAGGTATTTTTCAAACCCTTATCCCTATTATCTAAGTAAGCAAAAAACATCTTTATACTATCAGAAAAATAACAAGAATCATCATTCAGTCTATTTTTGTTAAGAAACTGATTGAACCAATAATTTTAATTTTTTTTTAATTTGGTCATGTCTTAGTCACGACGAGAAGATCAAAGTTACCAACAAAGAAAAAGGATATGAATTGGAAATGAATCTTTCATTCTCAGAATTTAAATTTTGAATGTTCTTTGTTTATATGTTTTTTGTTTAAGTAAATTAACTTGCAACAATACATAAGTCTTGAAATATTTATACAATAGGTTTCGATGTTTAGAAAAATTAATTAAAAAAATATTACGCCCAACTATTTAGAGACTTTCTATAATAAAATATTTAGTATGTATGTTTGTTATATACAATGCAATTCACATTTTATACAATGTACATAAATGTTGGAAATTTAGTGAAATTACGTAGGCATTTAGTTATGAAAATAAAAAATAATTACTTTATTTGAAATTTTTGAAGTTGGAGTTGTATTTGGCCATACTTTTTACAAAGAATATATAGAATTTGAATATATTTTGTCTGAATATGATTTAAACCTTCAATTTCTAAAAATTAGATAAATCGCCCAATTTGACTTGCTTAACCATGTGTACATATATTCATTCGACTTGGTACTTTTTTTGTTGGTGGCGTGAATTTCTTAGAAAAATTGATAGAATGATGAATCTTGCAACTTTTTGGATAGTGCAAGGATGTTTTTTGTTCACTTATATAACACAAAGATGTACTTTAGGTTTAAGTCATACTTGAGGGATGATTTTAGCCAAAAATTCTATTTCCTTCATCTCAAACAAATTTGTTGTGTTTTTTATTTACACACATAAAGAAAATACTAATTAATTAATTAGGAGATGTTATAGTTTTGATGTACAAACTCAAAAAAAAAAAGACAATTTAATTTTTTTTTTAAAAACATTTAATGAATTATGAGTTCAATCCATCCTATTTAGCAGAAAAATGAATATTTCTGGCTCAATATCAGGTAATCACTTATTCACAAACTTCGTGTGGGGAAAATAATTTTTATTTTCCATCTATGGAAAATCCTTTTCGCTCCGCTTAGCCTTATCCCTCTCTAGGGGTATTTTAGAGATAGGTTCTATAGGAACTGGACGATCCTATTTGGTCAAATACCTAGCGAATAGAACTTATCCCCCTTTAGAGGTATTTTAGAGATAGATTCTATAGAAACTGGACGATCCTATTTGGTCAAATACCTAGCGAATAGAACATGGCTATAGGAGTGGATACCCCACTATCTATCTATATATAGATATATGATCTAGCATGTCCATTTGTGAAATAAAAAAGAAAATTCCATTTCCCCCACCCCACTCCATGACAATAAAGTGCGAAAGGGGTGATAGTTTCGGTAGGAAAACTATTTTGTATTAAAATGCCAATTTATTCTCAATCCATAACAAATGAGTGTAGATCAACTTATCATCGAAATATGTTTTAATCCAAAGAAAGTAATAATTGAAGCATATAACTCATAAAAAAAAAGATTGTTCTTTGGGATAGCTCAGTTGATTTGAAGGGTGGCCATCCACACAGATGACTCGGGATTTAATCTCCTCTCAATGCGTTCTGAGTCGAGCATGGCGCATAGGTATCTTCCTTTTTCAGTTGTTAGCTGTTCTGTATATACACCTTTATCCTATAAAGCAACACAGCTCATTCCTTCTCCCCAATTGCTGTGAAAAAATTGTAGAAAAAATGCAGAATCAGAACTTGTCTGTAGCTAAAACCCTAAACCCTACCTTCACAACTCTTCAATTACCATCTCTCGCCCAATTCTTCAACCCTCTTCGCAGAACACTGCCCTCAATTCCATCTACCTATAGAACTCCGAAGCCTCTCTATATTCAAGCCCAGAGCCGGGAAATCGCAATTTCCCGGCGAAATGACAGTTACCGGAGGGATATCCGGTCATTTGCCGGCCGAAGCAAAGGAAAATCCGGTGGAACATCACCCGGGCGCATTGAGGGAAGCGGCGAGTTCCGGCGACAAGCTAAGCGAAATGCCCGCCGGAAAAGTAAGAAATTAGCTGAGAGTCTTTTCTACAGGTTGAAGAATCCTCATGGAAACTACCCGGATAATTTCTCCGAGGAAGAGCTGCAAATGATTGGTTTGGGGTATGATAGAATGGTTAGGTTCATGGAAAGAGATGACCCAAATCTCAAACACCCGTATGATTGGTATAAGTATGGTCAATTTGGGCCATATTCTTGGCGTGGAGTTGTATTAGGGGAGCCTATTCGAGGGCGATTCTCGGACCCATGTGTATCGATGATTGGTGAGGTTAGGGACCAAGAAGAGTGGGAGAAGATTGAGCAACATGAAATGGCTCAGGAATTTCAGAATAGATTGGATGCAATGGATAAAAATGTTGGTTTTCGATACTTTTGGGTATTTGTTAGGCATCCTAAGTGGAGGATATCGGATTTTCCTTGGCAACAATGGACTTTGGTGTCCGAGGTCGTTGTTGAAGCTGGGAATCAGAGGTTGGATAAATGGAATTTGATGGGGCGGCTCGGGAATAAAGCAAGGTCATTGATCACACAATGTGCAGCATGGATGAGACCTGATATTGTATATGTACAGAGGCCTGTATATCAGTGTAGGTTTGAGCCTCAAGATGACTTTTTTAAGGCGTTAACGCCTTTGCTTGATCCAGAAACTGAACAGGATTGTTTGTTTGAGTTGGAGGATGATAACGGAAGGGTGGAATTCTGTACTTATTTTGGTGGGTTGTGTAAGATTGTGAGAGTGAATCCTAAGGCATTTGTGGATGATGTGGTAAAGGCTTATGAGAAATTGAGTGATGAGAAGAAGTCCAAGTGTTTGGGGTTCTTGTTAGACAATCATCCTGTGCCTTTGTTGCATCCTTATACAAAGGAGTGGAAGGTGAAGTTGGAGGAAATGGAGATGGGTTGTGATGCACCGGATGATGATGATTATGGCAGAAATAACAAGGGAGAGACCGAGATAGTGGACTGGATTGAGGATGAGGAGTATGGTGAAGATGACGATGACAATGAAGATGAGGACGATGTGGATTTGGATGCAAGTGGAGATGATGATGATGAGCTGGGTATCAAGGAGGATGACGATTCAAGTCAGGAAGAGGACACAAGATTCTGGGAAGATGAATTTAAGAAGGCATTGGGTAGCAACGAAGCAATGGAAAAGTTTGCCAAGAAATATATGGAGACATCAACAAAGTTTTATGAAAAGCATATAAATGCAATGGAAGACAAGGAACAAGAAGCAAAGGAAGATGGTGGAGATGAATTGGCAATGAGAGGTGTTAGAGCCAAAATTAGCCCAAAGGAGTGGGAGAGTCATGGATTTGGTCCTTGGAGAAGAAAACTTAAGAAAGGTAAAATGCCTCCTGAATTGTTCATGAGAGCTGCAGTCAGGCCATTCACTTACAAGAATCTGGTAAAGGAAATTGTTTTAACCAGACATGCTATACTAGAAGGCGAGATCGGTAAGAAGAAATGAAACAGTTACCAGCTTTTGCAATTGGGTAGGACTAGATACAAAGATTCATTGTGCTACACTGCTAGTAATACTGCAGAAACAATGTATTATCATAAGAGCTAAGTTATTTTCTTGTATAATTTCACTTGAGGGAAAAAGCAGACTCTGCAATCTCACCAAGAACATATTGCTATGTATTGATACCAAGTTTTGATCGGAATATTGATCTTAATCATGTGTCATCATAGAACAAACTCTACAAATTGTAACAATAAGTCTGCAAATTCACAACTGAAAACTGACCTACAATTTCCAGTCAATGCATCACTTCATAATTTTGAAGAATAAATGGTTTCATGCAAATTTTGATCCGTCTCCAAAGCAAAAAGGACTGAGTTATGGATTTGCAGAAATCTCAGCAAAAGGCGATAAAATGGAAGATAAATTTAAATAAGAATCCAAGGTAGATAACGGAAGAACTGTTAACACAAATGTCAACCCCTTTGCAGGGAAAGAGTTGTACGCATGTTCCTTCTACTTTAGCTCAGACAGTTACTTTCTACTGTAGTAGATGTTACACGAAACAAAATGCTCTTTCTCATTGTCATTGTCAAGTTTCCTTCTCAAAGAATTCCTCTGGAACATAAAATTTTAGTCCAATAGCCTGCAACAAAAAATAAAATGGAACCCCGTACTATGATTTGTTAGTCGCGTGCTTTGAAGGTAAGTCATCTTAAAATGTCAGCAGAATTAGGTGGTACCTGCGCAAATCTAATATCAGCATCACTATGGTCACCTTGTCTGCCAGCAGCATCACCAACATAGAAAGACCTAGAATGACAAAAGAAAGCTCTATTAGATTAGTCAACGATTAGGAAGTAAAATATTTAAAATTGG